GCCCCTCCTTCAACTCTGTCCTCTAGATTGTGTGTTACTTGGGGAAAACAATAAATAGTTATATCTTAATTAACAACACTAATAATAATAATTCATTTTAAAAATCCCAACCCCACAAAAAACAAAGCCAAGTGGGCGACAAAAATACTTACAATTTGGTTTCATAATCTTTCCAGGCTTTGTCAAAAGGTTTTTTGAGGTCCTTAGGAAATAGAAAATTGTCTTAGAACATTTTAAAAACTTTTTCTTTGTAGTTATCAAATAATAAATAGCAACAAAAATACCGTTTTCTTCAAAACTTTTCAGACAGCAGTTGGAAAAAATATACTGGGTCTGAATCTTGTAAAGTATTGCTTTCCTGTGCACAGTAACACAGCAATTTACAATGAAATGTTCAAGATTTTATTGCAGTCATGCCAGTTTTTTTCTTTGTACTAAATACAGAATATTAATAAATGCCAACATAAGAAATACTCTCATGAGTGAAAGGAAAACAGTCACTAGACTGAACATGAAACACAAATTTAGTCTGCAACACTTACCCCTTTAACACCTTTTAAGTCTCCTTTTAAGAGAGAATCCAAAGTGAAAATAACATTGTGGCTTAAGCCCTGGAGCTAGAAACAAAAACATTATCATACAAAAGGATTTATTATGATCTTATCAAACTACTGCCAACAAGCTTTTGAACTTCACTAATCAAGTTGCAATCACCTCACATTTCTAAACTTCTAGTAAATTCAAGTCTGAGAAGAATTAATAAATATTTACTTGCATAAGACATAGAAACATTATAATTAACATTTACTTAAACAAGGTGACATAAACCCAGAATTTTACAAATAGCACATAAGCAAAGTTCTGAAAGCACTTCAAGGCAATATTTATCCTCTTGAAGCAAACATTTGGGTACAAATTTGACTACAGCCTCCTGAGTAAGAAGGGCCTGCTGTGTCACAGGCAGAGAACACACAAAGCACAAATTAATTCAACTATGAACAGAAGGAGCCAACAGGGGCACCAGTTCTTTGAATATTTCCCCCTTTTTGGGAATACTGTTCTTTTTTTCGTCCATTATGCATATCTGACATATCCTTAACCTCTTATGAGGACAAATTTCACCCCACTGAGTTCAGACCTATTTGATTATCGACAAGAGTATCAAAACAACCACTCAAACAGGTTCTCCAGATCTAGTGTTCCGCTCAAACTCCTCGTATATTCTAAAGACACTGTAGACTTTCTTTCATTTTTCCAGGTGTATCCATTAAGGAGAACAAACTCAAGCCATTAATTTTTGAGTTGAAATGACTGAACAGTAGCAGCGAGTATGTCAGCTATGTAAAAAAACCAAGAAACACAAAGCCAAACAGCAGTGTATTACTCCAGTACAGCAAGGATTTGGAATCATTTACATCATTGTAGACTTGATAAAACAGTAGCCCAAATGAACTGGAAACAATCTGAGAAAGCAAAACGCTCGTAGCCCAAATGAACTGGAAACAATCTGAGAAAGCAAAACGCTCTCATATATACACCAAAACAAAGAGAAAAAAACCCCTTAACATATGGAAACACATATGAGAATTTAGTGAGGGCTGTGAACAAAAAGTAACTTGCCTGAAAAGAGTAGCTGAGGACATTTACAGGAAAAACAGGCTTTAAACACTTGGAAAATGCAAGAACCATGAAAATTTTCAAAAGAAATAATCTGCAAGTGCTATAAATGTTCTGTCAAAACCTCATCTAGATCAATGTGAAGATACTGCCACACTCATTTTCATATACATAGGTCTTTATACACCTTTAAAATTCACTATTATAATGAATTACTGCATAAAGAATGAAACCTGAAATGGACAAGGAGGTAGAAGTAAAAAAAAAAAAAACCAGAGAAATTTATTGTGGTGGGACACTCAAAAGAGTTTGCTGAAAACATAGACCAGGGTTGGCAATGGCCAATCCCAATGTTTTACCTTTATAAAATCTTACTGAAGGGTCATTGTGTGTCCTTCTGGTAAGATAATATTAATATCAACAACTTAACTATTATATTCATAGATTTTAAGTTTCAGACATTATATTTAAATATAACATCAACAGTTAATAGTAAAAACCGCTCAGCAACTTATTTAGCCTTGTTAAAATGATGAATGGACATGTTTTTATTCTTGCCTTTGTGTGCTGAGTAATTATTTCAAAACTATGCTTTCAAAAAGTTGTGTATGCAATAAAAGACGCTGGTTTTACTTCATAGTAACTGAATATCACTCTAAAAGTAGTCATAATTGATGAAGAAAAAAGTTATTTTGTACTCTCCTTCTCATGAAATAGCGATATCACAATTCATATGAAAATTGTAATGAATCATAACTGAAGTTCAAAGGTGGAACAAAGGATCTAAATTTGTGAAGCATTTTTCTCATTGTCTACTCTGTAGCTCTAGTCCTTCTTAATTTTTATGTCTTTGAAGACCATTCATTATTTTATTGTACTTTTATTAAATAAGCTATCAACAACCTGTTCTAGGTAAAAAAAGAAAAAAAGATCCCAAACCTATTATCCTTCTATTCCTATTAATAACTCCTACCATTTTTCCAATTAATTTTATCCACATAATGCTCAGCACCTACTTTGGAGCTTTATCAGTGCCATAACAGAGTCGTCCTCTCATCTGCTTTTTCAATGGACCTCAATTTCTATTTTGATATAAACATCTTATTAAACAGACTCGTGCTTAAGAACAAAAAACCAGAATTTTCTGCCTTAGGGAGGAAAAAGGAGAAAAATAAACTGCTTTAAAATGCTGAGGCAATTGTAAAGTAAGTTTGTTGTCTATTTGAAACTGCTGAATGAACTAAATTAGTGAACACCCTATTTCAAATCCTGTCAACAAGAATTTGGGTAGATAATGTTTCATAATCCAGCTGAAATATTATAATGCTGTTTTGAATAAGTGTGGCTTCTTAAATTAAAAGTGCTTTTTCCTCTTGATCAGCACTATATTTTAAATAATTAAATAAACCCTGCCATATTTTTTGCTAGTTGAAATAGGTTAAAATATTCTGTTGATGCCCTGCTAGGAATGACAAAGTCTAGAAAGCTTCCAAAAAACTTGAGTTTTTGTCCCAAGCTGTCTTGATACTGTACTTTAATTCACATTTTAAAATAATTACTTTTAATTATGTGTTAAATTTTATTTAAAGAAGGTCAAAATAACCCAGAGTGACAGAAGTCTCTACAGAGGAAAGCATAAGACTCAGACCTGGGCACCTGTCAAAGGCAGAGAATTTGCTACAGGGACCTCTGGTGATCTACAGCAGTTATGGTTGTGCTGGGGACTACAGGAAGCCAAGTCTATAACATCACTTGCACTGCACACACCAAAAAAGCTTGGAAATAAGCCCAACTATAAGAAAAATGCAAAACTGCAACTATGACTTTCTGAATATAACAGCTACAACGCCTATGAAAAACGATTCCACAAGAAAAGTGGCGTCATTACTTTCAGTGTTCAAAGCTATTTGTTATGATTGCAGTTTTATTATGCAGCTTTCAGAAATAAAAGGCCTAAGGCAAACCTTAAATGAGACAAACCTTTAAACCACCTTCAAAAACTGGTATTTAAGCGATGGATGCTTTATATATCACAGGAAGAGCAGACTGTTAACACCATTTAAACATGCTCAAATTGTTGTTTTTCTTCCAAAAAGTGAATGTTTCTCCTTTTGTGGTAAAACAAAACAGCCATAACTAATGATATGGTATTTTTAACTAGAAAGACTTCAAGTTAAGGGATGATTTAAAATTAAGATCCATGAGGTATATATCACCATCAATCACTTGAGAATGATGACTCAAGGGATGACTTAACATT